AATTGGTCTATCAGGCTGGCCTTTAAAATCATTGTCCAGTCTCCTTAATGGCTTTTTAAGGTTGTGACCAGATTCGGATCTTTATGTTTTCTATACCAGATTCCAAGTGCTCCAGGTCAAAGTTTACATGCTATCTTTTCATGCTCAAGTTTGTTGCTTTGATCGTTCCCTTTGTGGTCCTTTTTGCTAGCCTCTCTGTGATGTACCCTTTTCTCAATCCAAGATCTTCGTGTACTTGCTTCCTACTTGTTTATCAAAAGTGATCATTCTCTGTGAATTTGCATATCGTAGATTCAAAGTCCATCTTTCTTCTCTTTCTGCAATCAGGAGTATTAGTGGAATTTGATCATTTTCAACCATCATAGTGGGAAATGACTTCTTTGAGGATTTATATCGTCAATTTTTTATCTGTGACTTGTCTGGTATAAGATGGTGAACTTGCAATCCAGTTTTGTTGAAGTATCAAATAAATATACAGTTAGCTTTTTGTAGTTATTCACTTCATTAATCAGAAAAGTACTCAATGGTCATCTTATCTGATCTGAGCAATGAGGCAAAAAGAGAAAAAAAATGATAAAACTCCCTCAGTGTTGTGAAGGGATTAAAAAAATGATAAACTTCCTCAAGTGTTGTGAAGGGAAAAAGTAGCTTTTTCCCTACACATGCCTCAATCTATTATGACAACTAAGTTGTGAGTGGGCAACTTTTGTTGCACTTGAGTCTCAATATTTTTGGATAATATATAAAGGGTGTTGGTGGCATACAATAATGTAGAGGAGTTGTTGATGCTAGTTCAATTGCTGAGAGATTGGGATAAATGAAACATAAAGCTCTAGTAGTTTATTCTATATCCACCAGGAACAGTAGTTTTTGGATGCTGTTGCAGACCATAAGATGCATAGGCAAGGGAAGCACGAAAGTAGTGTTATCTCACTGTTTTGACCATTCAACTACTTATTGTTGGCAAAGTGGCAAATAACAACGTTAGCAATTGTAATTTAGATTGGTTGAGTCGTGCTAAATAGCACTGTCCTAAGAAACTATTTCAGGGTATTGAAATGTTTCCCCAGGATTAAACAAGCCTTCCTCTTGTCGTCTGGCAAGAAGGATTAGAACCAGCAAATCTTTTAAAACCAGCAGTAGATGAAGAAAAGAAAAAGAATAAAGAGATGAGATGGGGTGGAGAAATATTGGAAGTCTAGTGTTCCGTCTGTCACAATGGCTTTGGTAATGCTTGGTATTTATAGGCTTGAGAAGTGTACGTCAGATGCAGGGAAACTTTATCCATTAAGTGGTTGAGAAAATCTTGGGCTAACTGTTGAAGTCAGCAACCAGCTAAGGAAACGTGCTTGGGTTTGGAGATAAGATATGATTTTCCACTAACAAAGGAATCTGCTGGAGTCTTGCAAAAAATTAGGAAACGTGGAAAAAGTTGATAGCTACAGAGAAGACTCTCAATCAAGTCTTCTGACGTTGCTAACAGCTAATAGGATATCTATTAGCTTTATCCCTTGAAGCTTGCAACGGAAATAAGAAAACTCATGAAACCAATTAGGAGATAACATTTGAAAGAGTCAAACTGCTAACCAACCAATAATTCATTTGATGAAAATCTGATTCACTTTACTATGCACATAGAACAAAGAAAACGTGGAAAAAATCTTTTGAAATATTATTTACAACAATCTCCCACCTATTTCAAAAGATTTTTGGATAAGAAATAAGAAAAGAATCTGCTGGATTTGTTTTGGGTTTAATGCAATTAGTTTGGTGTCTTTTAGACTATGAACCAAACTTAGATTAATAAGACATGATTTACAGATTTGTTGGTGAAATGTGAATTTCTATGAACCAACAATTCTTGCTATATAACAGCGGTCTTATCAATCACATTGTACCCCATAATTTGTTGTTCATTGCGGTTTTGTGCCTTTAGGCCATGCGCCTGCCTGGGTTTTCATGAGAGCTCTAAAGATTTGGCCAAAAAATCTTATAGGAGTGGCCCCACTCCACTCTCATATAGGTGAATTTATCAAGTGTATAATGCTATAGATACACATCCCTAAAGGGATATAAATTCATGAAGAGTTTTAAACTCAACCTCACAACTACTAGTAGTCAAAGCACTTATCTCAGTAGGGAATATAATTTTTAGTGCTTCACAGTCAATATTGACTTGTTATTACCCATATGAACCTACTTCATGGGATCACCAATCACATAGGTTGGGTTACCATCTCTATTGACAATCGTTGGCTTAAGTCCCATTTCTTTTGTAGTTTGAAGAATCAATTTTCTTCCTACAGGTTTAGTCAGAGGATCGGCCAAATTCAACTCTGACTTCACATAATCAATGGAAATAATTCCATCTCTAAGCAGCTGCTTTACGACATCATGTCTCAATCTCATGTGTCGACTTTTACAATTATACGATTTATTTTTAGCAATAGCAATAGCCGCTTGACAATCACAGTGTATAGGCACGGGAGACGACATATCCTTAATTGGTGGAATATTGGTTAAGAAATTTCTTAACCAATCTGCCTCAGAACCAATCAACTCCAGAACTATGAACTCCGATTTCATAGTTGACTGAGCAATAATTGTCTGTCTAGCTGACTTCCATGCTACTGCACCACCACCAAGGGTGAACACATATCCACTAGTGAATTTTGTATTATTTGAATCAGAGATCCAATTAGCATCACTGTAACCCTCTAATACAGTGGAAAATCCACTATACAGGATACCAGAATTCATGGTACCTCTCAAATATTTCATTAGTCTGACTAATGCAAACCAATGCTCACGATTGGGATTGTGAGTATATCTACTCAGTCTACATACAAGATAAGTTATATCCGGTCTAGTGAAATTCATCAGATGCATCAGACTCCCAATAATCTGAGCATATTTGGACTGAGCAATTGGGTCACCATTATTTTTCTTTAATTGAGTGTTAGCGTCATAAGGAGTATTCACAGGTGTCACATCATAATTTTCAAACTTTCTAAGAAGTCTCTCTGTATAATGTTCTTGTGACAACATTATATCACCACCTCTCCTTATGCTTTTAACACCCAATATCATTTTGGCTTCACCCAAATCTTTCATATCAAAATTAGAAGACAAAAAATATTTAGTACTATTTACAATACTTAGACTGGTACCAAATATAAGCATGTCATCTACATACAAACTGATTATCACATATTGATCATTCATAACTTGACATATACACATTTATCCACTTCTACAGATGAGAATCCATCTTTCATCAATACTTGATCAAATTTCTCATACCACTGTTTAGGAGCTTGTTTTAGGCTATAAAGAGATTTAATTAGTTTACAAACCTTATTTTCTTGTCCAGATACAATACATCTCTCAGGTTGAAACATATAAATTTCTTCTTCTAAATCACCATTTAAAAAGGCTGTTTTGACATCCATTTGATGAATAATAAATTTATGGATAGAAGCTAAAGCAAATAAAACTCGAATAGACGCAATTCTTGTTACTGGTACAAATGTATCAAAATAGTCAATATTTTGTTTTTGAGAAAATCCTTTTGCTACTAAACGAGCTTTGTACTTTTCTATAGAGCCATCAGAGTTATATTTTCTTTTAAAAATCCATTTGCAACCAATAGGTTTTGCACTAGGAGGTAAGTCCACCAAAATCCAAGTTTTATTTGACAAGATAGAATCAATTTCAAATTTAATTCCTTCTTTCCAAAATTTACAATCAAGGGAAGAAATAGCATCGAAGTATGTTAAAGAATCATTATCAACAAGAAAATTTTGAAAATAATTTCCATAAGAAAATTCTTTTCTTGGCCTTTTACTCCTTCTTAATTCCTCATTCGGAATTATTTCTCTATTTATTTCAACAGGTGCATGAGAAATTTTACTAGACAATGAAAAAATATGTTCAAAGAATTTAGCATTCTTTGTCTCAATAATTGTATTACAATCAAGCACATCACTTTTTAAAACAAGAAATCTATATGCAGCACTATGTTCAGCATATCCAATAAACATACAATCAGAAGTTTTAGAACCTAATTTTCTTTTCTTAGGTTCAGGCAACAATACTTTAGCAAAACATCCCCATACTTTAAATATTTCAAATTTGGTTTATAACTTTTCCATAACTCATAAGGAGTTTTGCCAGTTTTCTTATGAGGTATCCTATTTTGTAAGTGACATGCAGATAAAATAGTTTCTCCTCATAAATTATCAGGAGCATGAGAGCTAACTAACATAGAATTTATCATTTCTTTTAATGTTCTATTTTTCCTTTCAACTACCCCATTAGATTCTGGTGAGTATGGTGGTGTTATTTCATGTATAATGCCTTCACGTTTACAGAAATTATCTAAGGCTAAATATTCACCTCCTCTATCCGATCTAATTCTTTTTATCCTTTTATTAAGTTGATTTTCTACTTCAGTCTTGTAAGATAAAAAAGCATTATGAGTATCATCTTTATTTCTAAGTAGACAAAGCTTAGTGTATCTAGAGTAATCATCTATAAAGGTAACATAATATTTTTTCGCACCTCTAGTCATTGTTTGTTTTAAGTCACCTAAATCTGTATGAATTAAACTTAACAGTTCAGTTTCTCTTTGGACAGATATACAACTTCACTTTGTTAATTTTGTTTCTGCACATATCTCACATTTATCCATTTTATCATTAACACCAGAAATCAGGCCACAAGATTGCATTTTCTTTATATAACTCATATTAACATGTCCTAATCTTGCATGCCATAAAGAAATTGAATCAGTAATATAAGCAGAAGAAGAAGCATTCTCATTGATCACATTGGAAATGTTAAGTACAAAGAGTTCCTGATTACAATAGCCCTTACCCACAAATACATTATTTTTTGTCATTATAATCTTTCCAGATTCAAATGACACTTTCACTCCAACTTTTCCTAACAATGCTACGGAAACCAGATTTGCCCGAATGTTGGGCACATGCAGTACATCATTGAGCCAAAGTTTTTCCTGAAGTGAGTTTCAAGAATACTTTGCCCTTACCCAGAACATTAGCAGTTCGTGAGTCACCAAGGTAGACTACTTCCTCATTATCCCCTATAGGAGTATAGGAGGAAAATGCTTCTCGATTTGCACATATGTGCCGAGTAGCCCCAGAGTCTACCACCCACTCTTTGACATTGGCTGCAATGTTCACTTGAGAGATGACAGCAGCAATTATATCATCTCATTCGGTTAAGTGCACCTTAGGAGGATTACCATTTGTTTTGTCACCTTTATTAAGTCTGCATTGGACTGCATAATGTCCTGGTTTTTCACAATAAAAGCAATTGCCTTTCTTCTTCTTAAAGTTGGGATTGTTAGGCTTGAAATTAAAATTTTTGGGCTTGTAATTTTGGGATTTATTGGCGTACCTTTTATTATTGCTTTGCACCAGATTGGTTTTGAAAGCCATCTCCTTTGCCTTGGTAGCTCTCAACTCCCTTTTATTTGAATCCTCAATGAGGATGTGCTTCACGAGCTCATCTATGGTATAATTTTTCTCCTTGTGTTTCAAGTTGTTTTTATAGTCAGCCCATGACTCCGGTAACTTTTCAATCATCATGCCTGCAGCGAATTTCTCAGGTAGATTGATGTCTTCATTTTTCAAGTCCTCTAGCAGCATTTGATACTCGGTGATTTGAATTTTCATCTCCTTGTCATCAGTCATTTGCCATTGGTTGTATTTTCCTACGACGAATATTTGCTTGGTTGCATCTTCGGCAGTAAACTTTGTTACCAAGGCTTCCCAAATTGCCTTGCCTTCTTTGCTGCTACAGTAGACATCAAATAATTCATTAGAGAGTGTTTGAAGGATAGTGTGTCGGCATACCTTATTGGCGTATTGCCATGATTCTTGAGTCTTGGCATCCGCAGTTGCAGAAGGTTGAGATTCAGTGAGCACATAAGCTACTCCATGGATGTCAAGTAGAGAGTGCACACGTTCTTGCCATCTTTTAAAATTTTCATTGGCAAAAATTTCAATTTTGGGATACATCTGGAAAGGGCTTGGTGAATGGTAGTGCCACTGCAACAGTTGCTGATGAAGGCTGTGGGGCGTTAACATTGTCGGATGCCATAGTTTCTTAGATTGTTGGCAAAGTGGCAAATAACAATGTTAGCAATTGTAATTTAGATTGCTTGAGTCGTGCTAAATAGCACTGTCCTAAGAAACTATTTCAGGGTATTGAAATGTTTCCCCAGGATTAAACAAGCCTCTCTCTTGTCGTCTAGCAAGAAGGATTAGAACCAGCAAATCTTTTAAAACAAGCAGTAGAAGAAGAAAAGAAAAAGAATAAAGATATGAAATGGGGTGGAGAAATATTGGAAGTCTAGTGTTCCGTCTGTCACAATGGCCTTGGTAGTGCTTGGTATTTATAGGCTTGAGAAGTGTACGTCAGATGCAGGGAAACTTTATCCATTAACTGGTTGAGAAAATCTTGGGCTAACTGTTGAAGTCAGCAACCAGCTAAGGAAACGTGCTTGGGTTTGGAGATAAGATATGATTTTCCACTAACAAAGGAATCTGCTGGAGTCTTGCAAAAAATTAGGAAACGTGGAAAAAGTTGATAGTTACAGAGAAGACTCTCAATCAAGTCTTCTGACGTTGCTAAGAGCTAATAGGATATCTATTGGCTTTATCCCTTGAAGCTTGCAACGGAAATAAGAAAACTCATGAAACCAATCAGGAGATAACTTTTGAAAGAGTCATACTTCTAACCAACCAATAATTCGTTTGATGAAAATCTGATTCACTTTACTATGCACATAGAACAAAGAAAACGTGGAAAAAATCTTTTGAAATATTATTTACAACACTTATAAGTCTACAAATAAACACTAAACTTCAAGAAGTCTATGGTTTCATTGTTTTATACATTCAAATGTTAAGTCTAGAAGAGAGCAGATTTGCATTAGGTTAGGAGTTGACATCTTGTTGTTCCTATCCATTTAGATTCAATGACGGGAATCGATAGGTTTGTTTTAATTTCTCCATAGATTTCATTCCCATACACTATTGTGTTGTGAATATTTCTGTTGTTTGATTGTACTACATTTTAGGCTCTACACACAAGACCTGGAAAGAAAAGAAAGAGCTGTAGAACAAGAAGGTTGCCTTTTTGGGCGGAAAGGTAAAAATATTGAACCATTCATGAAATTGAAACCGGTTTAAATTTTTTTATTCGATTAAATAACTGCAACTTTTGTTTGTCTCAAGCCTCCCAAAGTGCAGAGACTACCCCCTGGTGTTGCAAGATTATCAACAAAGAAAGGAAAGGAAAGATATGAAAAAATGCGACAAGAGGTTGGTTATGCGTGTACATCTTCATTTTGTTAGTTGCTACAAAGCACACTTTGTTTTTCGAGTACTAACTCCTAGGCCTTTTTAGAATTTGATATTTGGACGCTTCTTGAGCAATTATGATAGAAATGCTAAAAGTAGAAGTGTCAAAATGGGTGACTTGGGCAGGTTTGGATTGGGTAAAATGGGTAATGGGTATAAGTGAGTCAACCCATTTATACCCATTTAATTAGATGGGTATAAATGGGTAAGTCAAAAAATGAATTGGGTAACCCAATTACCCATTTATAACCCATTTATTTTAACATTTTGTAAACTCATTTAAATTCATTTTTGCAAACTAAGTTATCAATTTATACCACTCTTTGTACCCATCATTAGTTTTAAATATTTACTTATAATGTTCAATAAGCCTAATTAATGGGTATTATTAATAAGATAAAACCAACAAATAATAATAATAATGAAACAAAAGTAATTAACATCACGACAAAATGAAAAATCTAAAAAAAAATGGGTGGGGGAAGAGATAGGGATGGCAATGGAGCGGGGGATCCTTCCCCCGTCCCCCGTCCCGTTGTCAAATAACTCCCCCCGTCCCCTGCCCCATCCCCCCGCTCCTTGCCCCCATCTCCCGCCCCGCCCCCGCCCCGTTTCCCCCGTGGTCCCCCACGAGGAAAGAAATCAACTTACGAAAAGCAAAACTCTCCTCATATGTCCAAGCATTTTTGAGAACTAATAGGAGAGAGGAAGAATTCCCAAACACTAACCAAAAATACCAAGAACAGTTAAAATCCAGAAATAACAAAAGGCAAAGATCAATGGAAAACATAAAAGAGAAAATCAGCAAAATGAAGGGAAAAACAAACCCATGGTTGTTGGAACTGCTTATAAACGATATCATAGGCCATGGAAAGAATTCTTGTTTCATTAGGCTCTCGTATTTACATTTTCATTAAGGCTTTTAGACAAACATCTTATATATATATATATATATATAAATATATATATATTTATTTATTTATGCGGGGGATGGGGCGGGTGTACGTTGCCCCATCCCCTGCCCCGTTTTAAGGCGGGGTAAATATTTCGTCCCCACCCGGGCCACCCCCACCCCCGCCCCATTTCTACCCCCGCGGGGCGGCCACCCGCGGGCACCCGTCCCCATTGCCATCCCTAGGAAGAGAAGAGATTTGGGGGAAGAGAATTCTAAATGGGTTAATTGGGTTTGATGGGTTACCCAATAATACCCATTTATGGTATTATTAGGTAACTCATTTATATCCATATAAAAAAATTTAAGTTATCCATATCCATTTATTCATGGATGGGTATGGATAAATTTAGTTAAGTAGGTTTGTTTGCCACCTATGACTAAAAGGGTAGAGAGGCGCAGGCATGAGGACAGAGTGTTGAAGTCAAGTGTAGGTCAGTATAGAAATGGTGTGCTTGATGTGAAACATTTGTTACAGCATTCTGCTCCTAGAGTCGATGACTGCAGGCATGTTGCTGATAAGAAAAAGAAGAAAAATGGTGGTAAGAAGAATCATGGGAATGGTGGTAGGAAGCACCGGTAGGACATCTGGAAATGTGGCGGGTATAGATATCCTGTTGTAAACTTTAATTGCCTAACTGGCCATAGCTTTTGCATTTAAGTTACATTTACCTTTTGATGCAGATGCTCTGCTATACTGACGCTCTTTAGCAAATTTTGGTCCCCTGTGGTCATATTTTTCTGCTATTGCTTATTCATCTTTCTGGGTGGTTGGTTCTGCAAAACCATGGTGCATTGATCTGATAATTTGCCAACCTTAATAGAAGTTTGTGGTTGTGTGCAAAAATTGCATGTAATTGTTCAAGATTTGGTTCAAGGGAAAAGTTGATTCCGCTCCTTAGAATGATAACTTTTATAAACTGCTACTTCTACATAACATCTTTTTGCAGGCCAGAGCAGGAATGGAGATTTAAAAATTAGAAAAAAAAGAGAAAGTAATGGTGAAAAGCTGCTCATCAGAATCTGGTTATATCTCTAAAATTTCTATTTTCTAATTAAATTTGAAATTGATGGCTTACGCTTATAGGTGGCAAACAACCAACCCATTTAATTAAATTTACCCAAACCCGTCCATAAATAAATGGGTATGAGTATCTTAAATTTTTGCATATAGGTATAAATGGGTTACCCAATAATACCATTTATTATTGGGTAACCCATCAAATTCAATTAACCCATTTGGAATTGTCTTCTCCCAAATCTCCTCTCTTCCCCCACCCATTTTTTTTTTCAAATTTTTCATTTTGTCATGATGTTAACTACTTTTGTTTTATTATTATTATTATTATTATTATTATTATTATTATTATTATTTGCTAGTTTTATCTTATCATTTTATTTTCTCTTAACTTGTTAATTTACTCATTTTTCAGCTTTATCAATTTATGACAAGTTTTAGCCTCTTTTCCTACCTTTCCAAAATGAAATTTTAAATTTACACACAAAAAAAATGCTAGAGGTTCAAAATTTTTAGATTAACTTTTATAGTATTTAGTTCAAATTTTTATATTCTTATTGTTCAATTATTTAATAGTATGTAATTTTGTGACATAAAGTACGGATAGGTAAAAAATTGGTAATTAGGCTTATTGAATATTAAAAGTAAATATTTAAAACTAATGATGGGTGCAAAGAGTGGTATAAATTGATAACTTTTAGTTTGCAAAAATGAATTTAAATGAGTTTACAATAAGTTAATATAAATGGGTTATAAATGGATAATTGGGTTACCCAATTCATTTTTTGATTTATCCATTTATACCCATTTAATTAAATGGGTATAAATGAGTTGACTCACTTACACCCATTACCCATTTTAAGCAACCTAAACCCACCCAAGTCACTCATTTTGACACCTCTACTTATGCTCAATAGTTACAATGTTCATTTTTTGGTCTTGAACTCTTTCTATTCAATTTCTGATTTCTGATTTATGGTAATACATTGTTGGACTTACCAGTGTGTGTCTGTGAGAATGTGAAATTTGACATGCAGGGGGACAAACTTGTCGTATTGCTCTAGAAACTGGTACTACTGGTAAAACGAAAAGAATAGGAATCAATAATCGCATAGTTTTGAAAAATATATAGATTATCTACCGATATGACATCCAAGTAGGATTTCTGCTTCATCTCTGTTTTCACTACATTGCTGTAACTCTAGGAATATTTTGCTACCATAGCTTGTGAAAATTTGTCATACAGGTGGTGACGCTTTTTTAGCTGCAATTTTTTCTTAAATTGTTGTATTGGGCAAATACTAAATGCTTTGAAAATTTTGCGAAACAGGCTGCCAAAACCTCTGTAGAAAGTCTATGATGCTGGATAGTGATTCAAATGGGTTTCCTTACATGATATCGGACAACTGGCAAAATTGAAGTTTAGAACAAGGTGAGGAAAATGTTGTATTTTATATTCCAACAATAATGACATATATTTGGCTTTAAAATATCTCGAAATTTGCTAAGTCAATTGAATCCTTGGGACTTTACATTATGTTTGCTTGATTTTTCCTACTTTGGTGATTGATTTGATACATTGCACTTTAGAGATTGGGATTGGAACATTTTAGGTTAGCAATTTACTACCAGGCTTTTGGTTCAAGGCAGGACTTATAATAGGAGCCTGTAACCGATTAAACCAAACTGTTTCTTTCTTTGTCAGATTCGCATGTAGGTTTGGTCCTCTCTAACCTTTTGCTCCCTTAACTT